AAATATAAAATAAAATAAATAAGCAAGACATTAACAAAATGTAAAAATAAAAAGATAAATATCTATATTTTATGAACATTTTTTTTATAGTCAAAAAACAAAATTAATTATTAAACTACTGACCACCAACAAAGATGATGCCTCAAAAAGGAGGGGGAGTTGAGGGAAGATGAAGAAAACACTAAGACAACAGAAGCTGCATCTGAATTATCAATATAGTCAACATATTGACTTCACTTTAATCATTACTAATGTATAATTGTCATTACTATAAAAACGGTATCTTTTATTTTTTGTTATTAATGTCTGACTACGTTATATCCACTTAAAGTTAATATAAAAAAGAAAATGTGTTTGTATATATAAAAACTGAGCAAACTAGTGCATTATAAATATTTGGCTATTATTATTGTCTTTACAATTACTGTACTGTATATTTAGTATTATAATAACTGCCATTACAATTATTGTATCCTTTTTATTAATAATTGCTATAATGTGTCATTACAATTATTTCTGTATTATTATACCATTATTGGTATTTTATCTTTATTGTCAATAACATAATAATTATTGTTATTGTTATTATTATTGTCAAGGTCATCATAATTATTGCTTAAATATTTAATTATACATTAACTAAATTATATTTTTAAATATCTTTTATTATCTATTGAATATTATGTGTACTTGTATATACTGTATGTAGGCTTATGTTTTTATAAACTTTTATCAAAATACACCAATGTGTTGAATTGTGCCAGGGTTTCAATACTGTGTGTGAAACAGATGCTTTCAAATAAAATTTATTGTAATATATGTTAAATGTAAAAAAAACCCCATTAATCTATTAAAATTGATTAACATAATTATGTGACTCAAGCTCACAAAAGGGCTGTAAACTTGTCCACAGGCCAAAATGAGTTTTTGTTATAATGGCATATAACATGTCCTTTACGTTAAAATGACAGTTAAATAAACTTAATCGGGTGTCTGGAAGCAAAGTTATGACCGTTTGAATAATTGTCATCTTATCAACTTTCTTACATCAAGTTTTGAGAAAAACGCTTTTATTTTCGTCAGGTTTCTATTCACTTTTCACTAGCTCCAATCCGAAATGGCTAAATTTTACCTCTTACAGTTATAATTTTAAACTCAAACTTCAGAAATAGTAAGATTAAAAGTTATACTTTATTTATTACACAAAAACCCAATTCATACAAAATTCACATTCTACGCCCAATTCTGGCTATGGAGGCTTGTTTCTCAATACAGTGCGGTGCGAGTTTACAGCCCTTTTGTGAGCTTGGGTCACAAATGGTAATAAATGTTAATACATTAATTTTACAACCACAACACATGATCTAAGGGGAAAAAAAAAAACTTGCATAACAGAAATGAAACATTTGGATAAAATATTCTAAATCCCAAACAATAAAAAAAAAAAATCAAATGAAGTAAAATATTACACGATATAGCGGTAGACAGGGATGTAAATCATTCATTAAAATAAATTAGGGGAAAAAAAATTTTTCCTGATTCTCTAAACTCATTATTATTTGGATTATGTTGTCAAGCAAACACAGAAATATATGTTATTTTGATTGATTCATTTTGAAGCGTAAATATGATTAGAAAATACTAGTAATAAAACACCTCTGGTAGGCTGTAAGAACAATGGCAAAGGATTCAGTTATGTAATAATCATATTTATACAGATTGAGGGCAGCAAACAATTAAAGTACTGTAATCTCGATTTTAGATTGAACTCTAGATAACCCCATCAGAGAGAAAAATGTCATTCTGGTGTCATTCTGGTTAGACAAACACCTAAAGACTTTATTGGATGACATATAAAAAGTGATTTATTTGTCCATACTTGCATATTACGTAGAAAACAATAACCTAGAAAATAACGCTACAACAACGTTCAATACAGTCGCAAACTCGTACGCTCGCAGACTAATTGCTTGGTAGAGACGGCTGAATATGTGATAAAGGGACAATTGCCTGTTTACATGGATAGGATGCCGGTGGGATAAACAGATGGATTAGGCCATTCTGGGGTTGCCGCAATATTTATGTATTAGAAAGCAAGATATGACGTTAGAGGATACTAATGATAAATAGACATGAATAGATCAGGTTATATTATTCAGGGAACCCAATACATTTACTTTCATCGGAAGTTTGGGGTGAAAGTAAGGTTATGCAGATTCATAACTAAACAAAACAAGCATTTCCACTTACTCACATTCAAATGAGAAGTAGGCAACTTAATTACAAGATGCATATGAACGACAGCATGCCTTATAGCAGTGAATAAGTGAGTGGGTTGGTTAATATATTTTGGTCATCAGAAAAACCATGGATTTGATTGGATGATTCATTTTCTTTCCTTGATGCAGAACATTAAAGATAAAATCATATTCGTATTTTCAGTGGGTCATTTGGGAGGGGGGGTGAGGGGTTTAAACCTCAAAATAAAATAAATGATTGTTCACCTAAAAATTTTTTCCAACAGTGACACTAAAGACATTACAACCTTTTGTAATTGATTAGTATTTAAAGATGTACTATCAGTAAAAAAAGAATATGAAAATACCACAAAAATCCAAATGAAATTTTGAATAGCTCACTTGAAATGATCAAATCAATTATTAGCTTCCAACGAGAAACAGAAAAAAAAAAAAAACATTTCACTGATTTACAGACATTACTACAAAAATCCTTAAATTTATTACCAGCCTGTTGAAGGATCTATGCAAAGGAATACAGGAAAGTTATTATTTTAACTTTAAAATTCAAATTTTTAGTTTTTAATTATTAAATACTTAAATATACAAATCAAGCAATTTAAATGTGAATTTAAAGTGTTTATTTTTTTTACTTCATGGCATCTTATATACCTTGTTTGAAAAATAAATATAAATCAACAATATAATCCTAAAAACACTGATGCTCCAGTGCTTTTTAGAACATTTTGTTTACATATTTTGGTGCTACATAAATTCTTTGACTAACTGACTGACTGGTACACTCAATTATGCGCAAAATGTCACCAAATGCACCAGCTATTGAGTAACCGGTATTATCTTTATGCAGTGGTCTGATTATAAGACAGTGAAAGAGCCATGTGTTAATATAACGTAAGCCTGGAGTTATCCTGTCAATAATATTTCATCAACCAGAACGGTTAAAAAATTGTTCAAATACTAATGAGGTTAATGTACGTAAGCATTAATCCTGTTGTTATGTCAATAATCTGGTTGTTGTTGTTGTTCCTTCCTAATTGAAGGTTTTCATGAATCACAACAATAATAACAACAATAATTAGCTTTATTTTAACACGGAAAAAACTTGTTTCAACAAAAGTAGTTGTTCTACAAATCCATGTAAGAAAGAACCAAATATTTCACAAAATTAAAATTAACAAATTGGCCCTGATTTGAATAAAAACATACAACATAAGAAACGCACATATTACCTTGACTAACCAGAAGATTAATAGATTTATTCAATGCATTTTGATTATAAATGAATTGCATTGGTTGCTGTAAAGACGCCTGCATCAGCAATAACAGGGGCGCTGTATATCATAAACAATAATGCTGAATAATAATGAAGTAACTGTCAACAATTGTTCTAGCTAAGTTTCGCAGACTGGCTGACATACATACATATACACCCAGTTATAAAACATGAAACTTGTTACTAGTTAGGATTGGTCCATTAATTAAAAAATCTTTTTATTTAATAATTTCATTATTAGCTAATAAAATTGAATTAAATTGAATGATTAGTAATTAACAGTAACACATACAGTAGAAAAATATTTTTAAATCATGCAAATTCCAGTATATGTATTATGTTGTTTCTACGAATCAAACATGAACTGCCAAACTGCAAAGAAACTACTTATATGCTATGCTCAAGAATTATTTTATTCATTCTGATAAACTAATAATAATAAATAATAATTTATTAATTTATATTGCACCACAAATATAGCTACAATAACTATAATCATATCAACAATAATAACAATAATTATACTTAATCATGATAATAGCAATAATAATAGTAATAGATAGTAATAAATTAATAATAATAACAATAATATTATTAATAAAAATAATAATAATTAATAATAATAATAATAATAATAATAATAATAATAATAATAATAAGAATAAGAATAATAATAATAATAATACTATATAATAATAATAATAACTGCACATGTTTTCCCAGGTCATTGACTTTCTAAATCTAGAAAAATGATTCTCATAGTAATTACTTGAGGAATGAAATATTCAGGAGATATTCTACACCTGTTCCTTCTATGACATTTGAACATTCACAGTAATTACTAAGTTCATATACGATTAAGAATTCTAGTCGGCAAACTCCAATGCATTTGAACCTACAAATTAGAAGCAGGTAGAGTTTATTCAACTCCAAGATTACTGTTTTACAAGTACGAGGGTGAATGTGATGAACACTCAGTAAATGACGCTGCGTCTTGCATGCAAATTACATGTACACTATATGCAAATGAACACATGTATATGCCACATATACTATTAAGCACCTGCGGTTACAGATTGTGCAAGAGAAATGCGCAGGTGTACATTTTTGGCTGTCAACTTTTTTATTTGACGAAAACTGTTGTATGCCCATATTCAGTCATGAGGTGCCTATATGATGATGATGTCCTCATGACCATATTTAGGCATGTCACAAATAAAGCCGGAGTCTGGACAGGGCATGAGAATAAAAAAAAGTGGCTGTTAAGCCTCCAGAAATCAATATTTTTTTTTTTTTTTTTTTTTTTTTGGCCCAGTCTCAGTCAGCATGATGCTGCTCTGGTATAATTATGGTATGTTGGCACTATTGCGGGAGTGCACAGCCACTTTGGAAGCAAATGTATACAAAATGCTACTAAATAATAATAAACTTCTAGTATTCTGAATTAAAACAAGCAAACTACGACTCACCTTCAACATCATCCTTTGACGTGAAATGAATATCATCGCTCTGTTGATTAATCTCCATCCCATGAAGAAATCTGATTGGTCCGTTTTGCATGTGGAATGACACCATAGCTGGGCCAGTAACTAGTGGAACACCTTCCAACCGAGGTAACGGGAAATTTGCGATTACGCCGATGTTTGTACCAACCCAGAGAGAGCCGTAGCAAGCCAGCATATGCGTCACTGTGATTGGTTGGCCGGATGGGAAATGCGCTTGATACTCTCCAGCAGCTACCGGTAAAGACAATGAACATGGTGTTGAGAAACACTGTACATGCTATTTATTACTTCAATGCAAATATATGTTTGGGAGTTGCATTTGTAAACCATGTAATGTCACTCAATGTTTTTCTAACTGTTTTATGATGTAATTGGGTGGCAACCAATTTATCCAATGAGGGGGGGGGGTCTGTTTTCCCCGACGAGAGCTCAAGTGGGCATGGATGGACTCGCTCTAAGTTTCTGGGACATCGTACAGAGGCGAATGGAGGTGGATCAGTTCTCCTTCACAGGGGATCGGGTCCTTACCCCAGCACCCCCACTGGTGCCAGACAAACAGTATCGCACAATATTAATTAGACTTTTAGGTAAAGGAGAACATGGTTCAATGACCAACACAGAAAGACACACAATTACTTTGATCACTGATGTCTAAAAGTAGTACTCAGTATTGTATACATCAAACCTCATGTGAGGCTTTGTTTATATTTTCAAGATGTAAACTTTGGTTATTTCCATCTTGCAAATAGCAATTACCATGCTCGCAAAACACCAACACAAGACGAATACTGATTAAATGTCAAAGATATCGATGTTAATTACAATCACATCCTTCAATAACAAACATCCATCATCAATCAAAAGAAGATGAACTATGAATAAACCCAAAGTTACAGTATTTACCACACAAACATAAGAAATAATATCAACAATTTAACAATGTCAAGTTAAGAAAAAAAATCTAGGTTAACTATGAAGTAACACTGGAGGCCTTTACTCATTTAACCTAGAGCATAAAAACACCTAGAAATATCTGGGATGAACTTCAGTTAAACCCACTTGCATTTACAAAAAATATGGGTGCAAGAGTTTAATGAATAGCTTAGAGAATCTGCTGTAAGGCAGAATTATTGGAAAATAGTAATCTAATTGTTTTGTGTAGGAGTTAAGAGATAGTGTATTCAGCATGTGACTAGCTCATGAAGGAGCCCAGTTTAAATGAGACAGTGATTGCATTTATACATAATAATCGGGCAATTAGTCATAAATTTTCAGCTTTAATGTGCATTTGTGACGAACGTAATGACAGGAAGAGGGATAGGATAGGAGTACAGGTATTTTTGGTGTGAATCAAACCATGGATAACCCACTAAGTCGGAAGATCTGGGTGTTTCCAGTGGGGCCCTTCTGGTGGTGATTGGGCAGTACACCGATAGACACTTCCCTACTCTTTTCTGAAGAGTGTACTGCGTTCTTTAACTTGCACATGAGCCATAATGCACACGGGACCAATGGATTCAACATCTCATCCGAAAGACGGTGCAGTATCATAACTTGTATTTCAGCCCTCCAGCTGAAACACAATGGGAGGCAGCGATGGGAACTGAACTGGGGACCTAGAGATCTTCATGGTTCAATGCACACACAATGGCTACCACCAGTTTAGACAACTGAGCTAGCTGCTTTCTTAAGGTGAATGTAAGTAGTATATTCAGTGGCAAAAAGACTAAACCTGACGTCAACAAAAGCAAAATGTTTTCTGGGCCATTAAAAAAAAAATCATGAAGAATAATACAGACTAAAAAGCTATAGGAAATGATGAAGTTTTGAGATTATTTTTAATAAAACAAAATTTGTGGACTGTCCAACAGAAAATGGTAAATGATTCAAAAGTTTTGTGGGGGGGGGGGAGGTTTGCCCCTGAACAGAAACGGTATTAGTTCAACTCTGAGTCGGTACTCAGGTGTCTCCTGTGTGTTCCTAGGTTGTTCAAAGCTGAACCCAGGACTATTGGCAACTCGAGCCCCATTTTCTGCTGTTACATTAACACAAATCTGGAGTTCCACATCTGGGTGTTGGAAAACTCCAGCTTATATCTGGAGTCTTCCTAGCAGTGTAAAAGGAATACAACCAAAGAGTATACAATGGCAGGAGGCTTCCTTGGAAATGAGTACTATCTCGAAAAGTACAGTACTACCACGAGCTAGAGCGCGTCCTTCAAAAGAGAAGAAGCAAGTAAAGTCATTCGTACATAATGCATACTGCAAGCAGAGAACGCCTGTTAGAATTTCAAACTCCATTCGAATCATAATAGGACGCCCTGTTCTTGTGGTGGTAACTTCATTTTTCGTATCATTGCGTGCATGCAAGATTATGATGGTCATTCTATACTTTATGAACTATGAAGTTATGTTTTTCAGTTGTGAAAGAAATCCTGGCAATCTGAACCCAGGACCCTGATATTTGCAAGCAAACATCATCCACCAAGCTTTAATGCTTTTTTCTATTTTAGTTGGTTCTCCCATAACAGTATAGTATGGCAAGTTCAAAGCCAAGGTCTTGCTAGGCCTAGTAAAGAGATGCAACCAAACTTCTGTAACTTACTCTGCAGCATCCGTCTGACCGGACTGGAGACACTGATGTCCTGGAGAAGCTGGAGGGTTTCCATGTGGAAAAGACGGATGGTGTCCAGCTCTTTGAGTGCTATCCAGACCCCGACACCAGCCATCACCATGCTCTGAACCCCTGTGCTCTCATCTTGATGAACCTCAAAAGAACTCTGCAGATGGAAGAGATTCATTGATTAAATATCACCACTGACATCACCATTACGCAGATGTAAAACTCTGTCCATACTATCAAATCTTTTGCGATAAAAAATGTGATATGCCCATATTTGGGTGTAATATGACATAACCATATCCATATATGGGCACATCACACATTTGTCACATAAAATTTGATAGTGTGGAAAGACCATAAGTCTATTGAGCCATCTTTTTGAAGAGACATCTTAAACTCTGTCCACATTATCAAATTTGATGTGAAAAATAAATGTGATGTCCATATTTGGGTGTAATATGACATCATACCCATATATGGGCACATCTCACAAATTTGTCAGATAAAATTTGATAGTCTGGACAGCTTTAAATGATCAATTAAACAATTCATTGAGATTATATTTGTGCAGGAAGAAATTAAAATGGTAACTTTTAAAAATATATAAAAATATATTATAAAGCTGATAAAAAAAATATGCTATAAACCATAATAAATGCTAGAATTTCTCTAATATTCTTCATAAAAAATATATTATGCTGGTATTAATACATTTTGGCATTGATTTCTAATCACAACATTTGAAATTATACAAATATCACGATTAAGGTCATGAATATGCACAAGTTTTATGTATATTAATAATTATTAAATTTCATTAATATATATATAATAAAAACATAACTGAAATTTTATTTGAAATGTGCAAATCAATAATTATATTCGAATAGTTTCATCTGGTCTACTTAATATTGTTGTAGAACTGTTTTGATCGTAAATAAACCAAACAAAATAAATGGCAACTTACTGAGAGCTTCGTCGATGTTATTTATCAACTTGAAAAACGTCATGGTTACGTGAGCTAGCATCCGTTGTTTTGGCCCCCGGAATCAATCATGACAGGGCACCAGAGGGTGTTGTTTACACAATGCCAAAACAACGTATGTTAGCTAACATAGCCTGACGAAGTCGTGTTGATAACATCAACGAAAGCTCGCAGTAAGTTAACATTCATTGTGTTTGGTTTATTAATGATCAAAACAGTTCTACATCAATATTTATATTTTATAACATTACTATATTTGTCTTTAGGGTTTGATTAAGTATTAATGTCGATTTGGTCTGTTTTTGTTTTCAAGCATACAGAGGTTCCAACAATAGTCAATCATTATTATTATTTTTATTATTTGATGGATTATGTACTTATTGGGAAGCAACAGCTACTTGTTGCTATACCATCTTGAGTTGTTGTTGGCAAAGTGACCTGCACATTTTGTCATAGCAATAGGTAAATGTTGGCATAGTAACCAGTTCCAGACTATTAACAGGCATAAATTCTAGTGTCTACTTTCATACAACTACCCAAATGTTCACTACATTAATCATTCAAATCTACATGACAAGTACATAAATATAAAACTTGGATGAAACAAGTTACAGTAATGGCATTGTTTCATAAAGGCAACACTTTTTTTATACCTTGTTTCACAAACTTAGTTTTTTTAAAATCTTCAAAGGAGGGCAGCAAAAAAAATAAACATAAAATTCTGTTTCTTATTTAGCAAATAGTTTTGCCAAAAACATCCAGACGGAGGAGAAAATAAAAATAAAATGTTATTGTTAAATGTAAAAAGTGTAGTAATGGAATGGTTAAATGCTTTAAATTTATATAATATAGGAACATATCTTATTTTGGAGATTTTAAGGCAGCGGCGGTGTACTAAAAATGAAGTAAAACCTTTATATTTTTTCTGAAATTTCCATTTTTTCGTGGCAGCGGGTGTGCTAATTGGCCAAAAATAACATTTTATTTTTATTTGAAATCATGATTATTGGCGGGTGGCGGGTTTCGTCAAACAAGGTATAAAAAAAGGTGTCGCCTAATCTACAACTATATGAACATTGAAATGATACTAAAGCAGGGGAATGTACAAACAGTTTGCTGTGGAACTGAGATTATGTCATACATTTATTAAGTTTTGCCTATTCTACATAAATCAATATTTTATTTACCAGTGAATTTCTTTTTATAACTTTTTAACCATTTCCATTTGTGAGGTGTGTCATAAAAAAAATCCTGATTCATTTGACTTCATCAACTCCTAATACACTTTAATTATAGGCACATAGGAAGGGTAAAGGTAAAGGTAGGAGAACCCATAACTCACAGTGTCATTGTGCTGAATTGACATGTCGACAAGGACGCTAAGCCCCGCCCACAAAGTCACGAAAACTTTAGAGAATAGCGGCTAGACTTACCGAGTTGGCGAATATTTTCTTTGCTATCAACCTTTTTTAAGAAAGAGAATTCAGGATAGGCGGTATGCAATGAATCATATATTCATAGTGTTAATCTATTTCATGGAACAGGCGGGGAAATTGTTGTAAAAGCCTCTGTATTTCGCTCCCAAAGGAAGAGGGAAAAGCTGCATTCTGTCAACCTCATTGTCGGCAAAGGCCAATTCACTGATGCGCACTGCTCGTGTAAATCTGGGTATCTATAACCGAGCATAGACATCTAGGCCTAGGCTCACGTATGTTTCGTGTTAACAACCAGCTGTCTAAGGAAATTAAAATGTCTGAGAAAAAGTTTTTGATCACGTGACTAAATGACACTTCCTGATTAGTCGGTTTATCTTTCAATCCAATCTCGTTGAGATGTTAATTGTGTATGGTTGTGGTTCATAACGAGGGACATAGTAGCTACATGTTTCCAAGACAGGGGCTAAAATGAACCATAGCACTGGGTTAACCCCTGCTCTTCCAAAAGGTGCCATGGGTTCTTTAAGGTGCATACAAGCCAGATGTGTACATTGGACCTCACATATATATATATGATATACAATAATCCCAGTGTTTTGAAAGGATTTAAATCCAGGGCCCTGAATTGGAAGGCAGAGATCTTAGCTAGCGAACTAAAGCCGATTGATACCTGAACAAAAAAATCTTGTAAAATAAGGAATGCTTTCTTATAAATAATCTAACAAAACAAGAAATTATCAACACTACTAAAACTGGTATTGAAAAAAAATGATGTTATGAAACATATTCAAATTTATTGAAAAAAACATGATGTTATGAAACATATTAACTACGTAATACTCTAAATCACAGCACTATAGTAGGCATTACAAATAATATAAATGAGGTCTTGATGTGAGACACTTGCTGCATTTTAGAAGGTCACTGCAATTAATAAAAAGTGTTCTGAAAAAAAGGCTATGATTTGCTGATAATGTCTACGTAAATAGATAGTTTTGCTGCCCTGTGGTTAACCTTGTGGGTGATGGGTAATTATCAGCAAGTAGGAAGAGATGTTGAAGAGGTTAAAACAAAATTGTTGCCATCTTACGAATGCCAAGGATACCTTGACATTTAGAAGAATATTGGGTATAAAATTAAAATTGACATTGAAGAAATTTGGTGGAAATGTAAAAGGACAACCAGTGGCAGATCAACATTTTCAAATAGAGGGGACGCAGGGAGTAGCTATTATAGTTAAAGGGTATAAAGCTACCTTAGTCCGACCATAGTAGGGGCTGAGGTTTATAAATATACACTACACTGGGGCTTTTGTGGGGAGGGAGGGGGAAGGCAGATGGACCACTGGTCCCAGTCAAAAGGGTCCTAGCCTGAACCCTAGTGATGGTCCTCTATTTTACTGTTTGAATGGTGCCTTATAAATAAATATAAAAAAAATGATTACCAGAGATTCAAAGAGAGTTTGACAAATATAAGAAAATATTAAATGAATGACAAGCAGTAGCAATTTAGGGAAATATTTTATGTGTAAAAACAAATGTTGATGTATGGTTGAATCTTTTCCGTCATTTTTTTAGTTGGGCAAATAGTGTTTTAATGACACGGGGCTCCCAATATTTTTTTGCTTCAGGCGCCATGACTCATTGTTACGCCACTGAATCCATCCCTTGAAGGTATCCAAGAGGCACATCTGTTGATAAGTACATAGCAGTTCATGGGACCGACTGAAATGGTTCTGCCAAGAGAGGGCGCTATAATGAATTATATTCTACATTTAAATTAAAACAAGGAACAGGTAGATAGAACTGATCTATATTCATGTTTCAGTATCAAGATATACATTTTAGAAAAATTTGTAATTTGAGAGGGTGGAAAAAGTTAAACCTCTCTGCTATTTAAAAAAAATAATCAATGGCATGCTCATAATTCCCAGGTGCATATGAAACTGACATCTGACTTCCTAGCCTAAAAACAGAAAAAAAGAATGGACTAACTATTAATGCCCCTGGCTACGAACAACAATATAAATTATTGATGTATGGTATATGAGGCTTGTCATGCCAAAACAAGCAGCAGTGACTAAAAGAAAAAAAAACATTACTTTTTTACTTTCGTTACAACCCCATGATGCTGTAAAGTAATATGAAAGGAGGTACGCGGTTCAATAATATACTATAACTTAAAGTTGTGATTACCTTGAAAACTGTTTCGGCCTATCCGAACTTACAAAAATAATGTATCGATCAAGGCGCTATGTACTAAACATAATATAACATCAAATCTTATGACTTTTTAAATATATTCTTATTCTTCATGTTATAAACTTCAAAAATGATAGGTCATTTTACTGGAATTAACTTACTATTGTCGAGGTTATGAGTAAAAGTATTATGACTTCTCTATGTACTAAAGTATATAACACTGTCACATCCTTAATTACCAAGTTTAACATTTAGCGAGAGTACACTGGTTTTGGGATGGCTAGCCTCATATTATAATTCATTATCTGTTAGTTTTACTAAGGAGAAAATTTAACAATAAATTTTGGACAGGTTTTCAGGAAGTAATTGAAATTATGGTAGTAACTGGGCCAATAACCTAATTCCGGTGGCAGGTAACCACATCTTGGTAAACTGTATTTGATCTAGATGTGTGCTAAAACATTTAGCAAAGTTGCAATGTCATTTTTCACCTCTTGAAAATGAGGTCTAATGTTAAGCGATTTAACTGCGTGACCTTGACTGCCTTCTAAGATACAACTGTAACTGTGTTACCATGTTCATTAACCCTTGTCAACAATTCAGAATTTTGCATTACTTAACTATTTTTTAGAATATTTTTGTTCGTTAATCACTTACAGGTTATAAAATGATACTATACTTTTGAATGGGTTGTGTATTTTATTTATTTATTTATTCTTTCTTTATACTGAATATACACTTTCAATACATAGTACTGATTTCCAAAGTGGTTCAGTTCTTATCTACAAAAACATTTTAAAAGCAGAAAATAACAAAGAGAGCAAAAACTTAACTACAAATTAAAAAAAAAAAGGTATAAACATATATGAACCATGTCTTAACAAAAACAGATTTAGCAATATTTGAAAACACAGAACAAACAAAACAAAATATATCAAATTCATGTTACAGAATAATGGTTAGTGTTTAAAATAATGCCTAATTTCATGCAGGCCAATTATAAGTTATCAAAGACCATTATCAGGGCTGTCTCCAGGATTAGTTAGTTAAAGCAAGAAGGTGTTAGTTAGAATTCTTTCACTAGACTCACAAAATTATACCAGCTTAAATGTTTATCTTGTTACAATTAAATACTGAAGATTCCCTTTAAAATTACAGAAAATAATTTTCTTATAGTGTAACTTTTTGCTTGTCTTCAAACATGGATTTTTTCCAATTCATGAGGAGAGGTGCGTGCACACCCATCGCAAACCCTTTGGATATGGGCCTGCAAATAATTATTATATACAGGCAATTCATGTTTCAGTCATGTTTCTCTACCAGATAATCTATTCTCAATTCCAAATAACCCCTAAGTTCAACACACAGTATTTTACTAATAACTTTTTAATAAATGTTTGGGCCAAAATGTCAAAAGTATGATATTTTTTATTTATTTATTTTTTTTTTGTAATTTAAATATCTGCCACAGTTTCTGGCATAAATATCAATCAGTTGCCAACTTTTGACTAACCCAGGATAGTTGCCCAGGGGCTAATAACTGAATTTTTGATATGTATACCAGAAACATAAGTTACTGTACATAAGTTTACAAATAAAAAAACAACACACAAAAATATTGTTGGCAAATTTAAAGTAGAACTCTCCAAACATCCATAGAATGTCTCAATCATTATATGTTATTATTTGAATATTATGTTTTTATACGATTAATTCCCTGCCTGTATTTATACTTTATAATAAATCATATTATTAAAAAAAAAAAAAGGCCAATGGCCAATGCACTTTGATATTGCCTGTTGACTGTTATCAGTGGCATATCTTTGATTCTTGAAATGGAGTGAGAATCGAGGAGGGGATGGATGCAAAGGTAAATTAGGAGGGGGTTCGATGATTAAGTAAGGGGAAATAGCTCACAAAATAAGGCGATATGCGGTGACTTTTAACTACTTGATGATTTTTTTTTGCTTCAAACATTTTCAATTGGAATGATTATGGGGTGAAGAAGCTTTATTCTTTGGGGAGGGGGGGCGCTACACATACATCCTTATAAATAGGCCACTGACTATAGGACTGACGGAAATGTACAGGAATAAGCTAAAAAATACAAAAAACAAAAAAAAACAAAAAAAACACCAACAAACAACATAATGGATACTATATATATATAAATATGAAAACACATTTAAAAGCAGAAACTTTGGTAAAACAAAAGCAAACATTTTAAATTTACAAAAAACATATGTGAAAATATGTCTGATTGGTCATAAAGTGGGCATGATGTATGAAAATAATAATAAAAATAAATAAAAACTATGATAGTGATTCGCAGAATAATCTTTAAAAAGCAGATAAAATGCATTTTTTTTTTAAATAACCACCTATAAAAACATACAAAAATAAACCACTTTACTGCAAAGGAAGGCAAAAGCTGTATGCAAATAAAATATATAAAAAATTCAACTGATATAGAAAAAACTTCTTTAAAAAAATATTATATTTAAAACTGCCCAAAAAAATATTAAGAAAAAAATGAAATACAAAATAATATAAATGAATATATATTATATGGTAGATAAACTTTACCTGTGTTTTAACCAGTCCATTTTTTACATGCTTTGAGAAGATGAAAAAAGAATAAATAAATATTAAACTTAAGTAAAATATACAATATATCTGAATTACCCAAAAAAAAAAAAAAAAAAAAAAAAACCAATGAGGTACTATTTCAAACATGCAACTATTAAAAAATAAAAAAAAAACCATAATTTTTGAAATAATTATCATACTTTGATAAGAAACTGCCGGAAATAGGTAGGGGTAGAATTAATGTTATTGAACTGTATTGTACACTGTATAAGTCAAAGTGTTATATACGTTATAATAATAATAATAAAACGATATTTATAAAAATAAAAAGAAAATAATGACAATATTAGTTTATAAGAATAAATAAAAACAACTACAGTACAACAATTATGACACAGCTGATAATGATTCTAATTACAAAAAGGGAAAGGAAAGAAGTGGTCGTCATTACAAAATTTAATAAGTGAGGTTAAAAAGAAAAATTGTTAATATTTTTGTATGATTTCACACATTTTCAAAAGATGTAATTTTGCTAAAAATCAGTAACTTTACATTCATATTTTTATTTAATAACAAGACTGTGGTGGGAAAAATCGGTTCTGATCTGTTTCTAATATTAAAATGCTCTATTTTAAACTAAAACTGATCTAAAAAATGTTGGTAATCAGTTATTTGCTTTAAGCTGAAGTTAGGGAGATTTAAAAATACACTAGGCACACCGTACAACTACAATAACCAGTGGCGGATTCTAAATAAAGGGGGCCCAGGGAGGGACTTCTACAGATGGAGCGTCTCGACCCCTAGCCCACTACGATTAGGACTGAGGTATGAAAATTAATGATTATGGCACCTCTAGATGGTTGGAAATGGCACTCTCAGTTTTAAATTTAAATATAATTTTGTTTTTTCCACATTTATTAAACTATTAAAAATTTAGGGGGCCCGGGAAACTAGGCCCTCCATGAATTCGCCACTGATAATTTATAATTGTCCAAATTTCTGTATCTGCAATCATAAAATTGGACCATTCCAAAATGTCCAGGTATGTGCAAATGACATGAGACTGGATAACTTTAAACACCTATATTATCCGTACCTGTTTGAATTCATTAGCCACGTCAATCAGGTGGACACGATTGCCACACCCGCACCACAATGTCTTCCCGACGGATAGGAGTGATGTCACCGGATGATGACCAAGCTCAATGATCTTTGGTTCCTTAACTTTCCATGCCCCATCACCTGTGGAAAGAGCATTGAAATAATCAATTAATCCTATTCTTCTACTGTCAGTTTTCCTTATGATACCTGAAAATAGTGATGTTGCTGACAAAAAACACTAAAAAAACACAATAAAATTCACGATATTGATGATAAATATGATGATGAATTGATGCTAATAGTAATAACAATGATTATTAATTATTTAGCAATAGTGATAAATGATAAAGATGTTTACATAATGATGATAATGATTCACAATGCCATAAATTAATAAATCAATTTATATCTCTTGTTATATATCACTTGTTATACAGTAGCATCCTACAGAATTACTTGTACATAAATATATTTTAAGTTTCTACCTGGTTTGAATAAAGAGTATAGAAAGGATGGAAGTCGCCATTGTCATAAATTGTGCCTGCTACATCTATCTATCTCACAAAAGTGCGCCCCCATGTAAGATATTAAAACACATTTGTTTCTAATAATAGTAACATTAATCTAACTATTGCCTCTATGAAGGAACTGTATGATGCGGAACACAAATAAATGAACAAACCATGCTAGGCACTTCTAGGTAACTAAAAGTGACAAACAAATGGAGCGGGCATCCTCCGTTAGCTGTGTATAAGGGCGTATCATTTCTGTTCACGCTGTAAACATGGATGAATTTAAGTCTAAACTAATTCCTCTATGCTCTAAATGAGTATATTGTGCTCTCTTACCTTTCTATACTCTTTGGTTTGATAATAGATAAATAAAGATAAATTAATAATATGTAATGAGACAGATGGTCATATGATGTATTTATCATTGTAAACCATCCTGAAAATCTAAATATCTGTAATTTTGACATCCACCAGAAAATATTTTAGTATATCTCACCTGGATTTCTTGAGTAGACCAGAACACAGCCATTGTCCTGGGCAACGAACACCTGGTTATGCAAGTACATGAGAGAGGTAACAGGACTTGGCACTTTCAAGGACGAAATGCTTTTGCTTTTATCGACACCAACAGTATTAAAGATAAAGATTCTAGCAATGGAAATGGAAAAAAAAAAAAACAATGTATATGATAGGTAATAATAATACAGGTATTTAGCATAATTATGAGCAAATTAGTGAAGGCTAAGTGGCTATCCTTTGCAACAACAATACAGAAATGACAGGAAATGCCAACTCAGAAATTGTGGGATGGTGTCCAATGTGGATAGTTCTATTCCTAGTAACAGCTTAGATTATTTATAGCTCAGTTATAATGACCTGGATATCCTCTTTATAAAATATGCTAACTTAGATACCAACAAGGACTTTTGTAAGTAACGAATTAATAAGCCCTTATTCTGGAAGCTTGAACATGTCCACTACTTTATTGCATGTAAACTTGCCGGTAGTGGCCTCACCCAGGAGGTTCTGGGAAGAACCCGGAAGTAATGATCTAAAAATAAATACCATATGTTTGTTTAATGTTAATTATAGTTGATGACAATGATTTTCATAGTGGCGCCCTTTATGCCTTGGCGTATGGGATGAAACTAGGAAAAAAGGTTTGGCATTCAAAGTGTTCCAGCATTGTTAAAGAAAGCAGTGATGCTGGATTCCTCTGCCTGTTTTGTTTTTTGGTTTTAGTTAGGTAGTGCAACACAATTTTGATTTACCTTCCCTTGTCATCACCAACCCACACAGTCATCCAAGAGAACCGGAATGACTGGTAATCCAGCTTGTTTGACAACCGATCCTGCCGGTATCCCGGCACGTTCTCCATACACGACACATTTTCAATGTCCATAAGTTCAAATGTCTCAATGACTTGAGGTGATGGAGGCTGGAAGCCGATTAAACTCATAAACAACTTTTGTCCGTTAGTACTACAGATCCACAGGCAGTGCTTTGCCGCGTTGCTTTCCATCGCCTTTGTACGTCGCAGACGACTTGACTCAACAGGACATAAGACACTGCATAGAACCTGCATACAAAAAAGCAGTAATATATATAGTAATACCAGAATACTAAATTGTCTTCATGCCTATCTGCTATCAAGGCTTTATGAATTATAAAGTTATATAAATTATTAGAGAACATTCATTATCTCGTTGAGAACCAACTTGCGCACCCGGGAGCATAAATAGGTACCTGGTAGGAGGTGAAAGATTTTGGAATGAAATTATTAGTGCTGATTGCACGCGTAACTAGGATCCCAGGGAATGGAGGAGGTTGCATGTTGGGTATGATTGATTCTGTATCCAATTGACCAGGGAAGAAAGCATGTTGAGAAGTTCTTCCATAATTGGATATGTGCACTATATAAATCTTATAAAATAAAAAATAACGTAATAAAAAATACATGGCTGTTGTTTTTTCTCAGCCTACCCCATCTGAAAATTAGTGGTAGTGTATCTATTTACCTTGATTGTTTGGTGTGTAGCGGTGGTGAAGACGGGAAGATGGTTAGACAGCAGTGGGATTCCAAATCCCATTTCAGCGTGGATTTCATCATCTTCTGAGATGTGCCATCCAGGGTTGTTGTCACGCTCTGTGAACAGATATTCAAACACGTGTTTGTTGCCCTCTAGAGTTATTTTGGCACTACCATCTTACAATATCACATCTGAAGTTATTATACTTATTTCTTATTCATTCAGGAAATCTGCTCAGTCTTAAGTTTCAATTTAAAGAAGATATAATATATAAAATAACAGAGGTCCCAGAATATCAGTTTCCTAAGATGAAAGAAACAGCTTCCAGGAGACGTTGTAAATTGAGCTTTCTTAATCGATTTAATATTATTTACGTGGCGATACCTATTGCCAGCAAACTTCAGGAAAACAATAGGTAATGCAGTAATAAAAACAAATATGAATTTGGTGTGAGTAAAGCCTGGCTTCTGTAACAATCGCTACACGCTCTCCTCGACTCCTTTAACAACGCTGATTGGTCAGTCAAATCAGGGAGCGTTCCCGATTGCACCAAGGACAGCTACGCAGTGCAAGGATTACAGTAAAAAAACTGCAGCGATAGTGTATTGATTTTTAAGGAATCAAGGCTTTAATTTTCATGAGATTCTTGCTTGCTTAAATCCAATTTACAAGGAACAATTCTTGCTACGATCGGTCAAATTGCTAGCAATGAAATTGCTCCGTGTAAATTGGGCAAATTGCTCTAAAACTGAGGTAGATGATTGACAGGGTATCACCCAAACAAGGCCTAAAAAAAATTGAACCGGAGCAAACTTTTTCCGGAGAGTTTCCAAAGAGACCTACTTTTGAATTTTAATAGCTTTTCCATGTGTTTACACGAATTTGAAAGTTAAAATTAGAGATAGATAGGTTAATTCGTATAAAAAAAAATTAAAAAAAAAACAAATATCTCCAGATGTTTACATATTGATTCAATTTTCTTGTTCAGAATGTTTTTCCTTTGTTAAGATAACTGTATGTTGCTATAGATTAATAAACTGCTGCCAAAAACCAACACTGCTTAATATACTGTAATATAATACTAGATAGGCATGTAGTGTAGATAATGGAACATCAAAAGTGTTTCAATTTTGACAAAATTATGTATAACATTTCCAGAGAATATCAACGTATTATCATTATCCTATCATGACCTGGTCACATTCCAGAAACTTGAAAGCACTAATATTGCCCTGTGTAAATTGGAGTGCAAGACAATTGATTATGCCAAAAGTTGATATATAGTGAGAGCCCATGCAAGCATTGGATTGGATTGGATTGGATTTATTCGGTGTAAACACGAAGGATAGCCCACGAAAGTCTAGAAGAAGACTTATTTCCAGTGGGGTCCTTCTGGTGGTGATTGGACAGTACACCGGGAGACAATCCCCTACTCTTTTCCTAAGAGTGTACTGCGTTCTTTAACGTGCACATGGGCCACAGATGCACACGGGACCAACGGCTTAAACGTCTCATCCGAAAGACGGTGCGCTATTGTAACTTGTATTTCAGCCCTCTAGCTGAAACACAAGGAGAGGCAGCAATGGGAATTGAACAGGGGACCTAGAGATCTCCACGGTTCAGCGCACACACAGTGGCTACCACCAGATTAGCCGATGAGCTAAGCTGCTCTCTCCGTGTAAAATGGGCTTTAGAGAAGTGCGTAAGCTATCTTGATTTCCGGGAGACCTTGACGACTTGTGGGAGTTTGGGACACCGTGCTGTAATACAGAGCTGCCGTGAGAACACCGAAACTTGGAATTTGAAGGCAGGTTTTTCATCACCAGGCTACAGCAACTGCAAGAGGTCTGACTGCCATGATTTTGTACGCAGACAATGGAACATTAAAAAAGTACTGCCAGGAAATAGGGGGCGCCTTATTCAAATACAGTTCGAAACTCAAACATGCATGCAGCACATGTTCAATCATCGAACGTCTTTTAAGGCCATGCCCCTTTGTGGAATTACTTTTTGAAATAGGATTGCGTTCCAATGAAATCACGGCAGTCAGACCTCTTGCAGCTTTATAGTCTTTGGCTACAGCTCCATTACCAAACAATAGGGTAAACAACAACATGTAATAAATAATTGAATACAAAAAAACAAAAAAGTCTGTGTCTTACTTAAACCAAGTTTTGCATTCTCCAGCGCTGTCACCCAATCAAATTTGATTTTAGCACTGATAGCATCAAACACTATTGTCACTCGTTTGTTGCTGAAAAGTAAAATTTTATAACAAAATTATCAGCATTAATTTGAACTGTGAAATTTGAATAATTGAAAGCAACAAAGATGGAATTAACAAGCAATTCAACATAATTTCAGTGTAGAGGGCGACAAACACAATACAAAATAGTTATGAAATTAGATGATGGATTCAAGATGATTTCTTTTTTATGTCCATTCGACAGTGATTCATAATGAGATTTGATATTTAGGTAGTGGAGTTGATTTAAGTACTGAGAAAAAAGAAGTTATGGGATTTGGACGAATTTGGCTCAGGAACAAGAAACTGAAAGTACATAGAACCAATTATAGAAAACAGAAATATATTTTCTTTTGTACTATGCTGCCCTCTAGAATAGCTTCCATTAATTTCTGTTCACACCATCAAATTTTATGTGACAAACTTATGTTTGCCCATATTTGGTTGTAATATGACATCATCATGCCTGCATATGGGCACATCACATAAATTTGTCACATCAAATTTGGTAGCATAGACAGAAGTTAACAAATTTCTATTTGTGCTATTATTAAAGACCGACAAAAAAATGTCAAGAAAATTTTTTCCAAATATTTTCTTGACTTGAGAGCTCAGACCCTTAAGGGGGGTTTCCTACCAGAGCCAGAGGTACAAGGGGCACCTACAGTATGTGGCCTTGTGGTATTGAGGCATGTGTATGCGTGGGGAGGGAGGCAGTCAGGAGACTGTAAATGGTCAATCATATTACCATTTTGAAGGAGAGAGGAGTTTAGTTTAGTTTTAGAGAGGGGTTTGCACTAGGTTCAGTAAATCATAGAAAACCCCCTGGTTACGGGCCTGAATACTGCCACCTAGTTGACAACAGTTGCTCTCAGTGCAGTAGAAATTCAAGCAACAGAATTTGCCAAATTATTACAAATTTCATGCAGCATAATAATAATAGCCTATAAACATATAACAATATTAATTGAAATGCATATACTGTATATTTATTGTAATATATCAATATGAAACAAATATTTTATGAATATTCAATAGTGACATTAGCAACAGTGTCCATAATGATCAAGGATGTATACTGTTCATGACAAAGCTCAGAGCTATTAATAAATAATCATGCATATTAATGCATTATCATGAATATTCATAAACTGACAAAGGAATACACCTATTGAATAGGAGTACATGAGCAACAAAAAAAACCTGACAAGGTAGAAATGTTTGAACGAGGACGTGCACAGAATGTGAGAGAACATTTTATAACGGACCAAGCCTCGCCTTTTGGACATTGTTGGTAAGGTCCCACAATACGATGGCGTAAGAATATATGCAAACATATGCGTTTTTGGGACAAAATGTGTCTTTGTGAGAAAGCGTGTATTCTAGCACTGTTCCGATTGGTCAGTTAAATTTGATTTACACTGAGGAAAGATTCATTGTGATTGGTTGGCTTGATTATGTGATCACTGGCATATAAAATTAATAATAAATGAGATATTTAAATTATGAAAATGATAACATATAATTTATGATTTCAAGAATGTTAATGGGTACAATATTTTAACTATTGATTTCCGTATGTACTTGGCAACCTTTTTTTTGTTCCGATTGATTGATTTGATTGAATAAATATTGTTGAAATTGAATTAATTATGAAAATTATAACACATTATTTATGATTTTAAGGATATAATAAGTACAATATTTTGACTGTTGATTGAAAACTCCTTATTCCAATTCAAGGTAATTCCCCCTTTTTAAATCTAGATTTTTCCATCTAATGATACTGTACTACCCAGAGAATACATAGTGTTGTGCCATCTAACCCTTAACCTTCCCTGTGTTGAAAATTCTCTTTATCTTCAAAACCCATGCTCCCACCACACAAACAAATATTGAAAATGCAGTGTGTAAAGTATTTGCCAAATATGTTATTTATAAGAAATGCATTAAATGAAGTTCAGAAGGCCAAGGTTTCCTCAGAGAAGGAGAAGTAATGTAATTATATAACTATTAATGAATGAATATAGTGTTCTATTCCTTCTTTGAATTTTTTCCCAAACAAGTATTAATTTTTTCCCGACCAACTGGACATGTTACCATTTTCGGTGATAACGAGAAGCTAACACAAGGAAGTCTTCATAAGACATCAAGCTATGTGGGATAAACAAATAATGAGAATGAAGATACACCATACAACAAGTCATCCAATAATCCACATCTTAACACCAATTACAAAATTGAATTGGTCATTGTAAGCAAAAAGAAGAAGCACTAGCGTAATGTTAAAGATACTTATGTATTTATAAGTATATTAAAATATTTCTGTACATTTGTTGCATTTCATACACTGCATAAGCAAGCGAAAAATCACCAGAAATAAACAAAAAGAAAATTTAATTTTGATTGTTTTAAACTTTAATTTTTTTGGCGGATGTTATGTCTTTTAACTTTCTTCTTTTTCTCCAAGAAATAATACAATACAGACTATTTCAATACCATATTACTAAAGTCCATCATTTATATATTTTTAATTTTTATAATTTAGCCATTCAAATTTGTTGTCGTTTCTATGTGATTTGGATGACGACGGTGTATAGTGTATTTCTGTTATGAATTTATATACCCTCGCTGATACTTGGCTGCACTCTCGCAATCCAAATCCTCTAGTCTGCAGAGAACACAGGATAATCATGCATTAGAAAAGATTAAGCTCAATGTTTGAATGCTAATGTTTAGTTTCCATAAAATCACTAAATGCTTCAAACGACGCTGATCAATCAAGGACAGCTACTCGGTGTAACAATTGCAGTAAAATCACTATAAGGACAGTGTTGCGATTTTATGGAAACAACTGTAACATGTAACTTAACTAGTTACATGTTACAGTAAATGTCTTCCCAGCTTTTAGGGTCGGTGTCCAGCAGAAGATTAAAGAGCTTTCAATTTGTGAGAACACTACAACCTACAGTAGATATACTGTAATGATGTTACATAGATCATCTGCATGCGCAAAAAAACTCAGATTCGCCCTCCGAATCCATGTAAGTAGCGTAAGAAGAATGGTCACTTATGAGTCAATCCCTCCTAGGATCACACTGTGGCACTATCAAAAGCTTCCTATTTGTTTACCATTGCCAAATTAGGCCTAAGCATTGATTTTAAGACTTAGAAGGTTGATTCTAGGCTTTGGATTATTAGTCCTAGAGTTGACTTGAGAAAAACGTCTATCAGACAAAATGCGCCAATATCCGGAGGCAACAGGACTTATAGTTGACTCAGGACCCCTATTTAAATGGAGCAAAGGCTTTTGTCAATAACCATGTTAGCTTATTCGGCACTACAACACCACTCATGACTCACAGATTACAGAATACAGTAAGGCTTGTATGAATGACCCTATTAAAATAAATCTTTGACATGGATGGGTGACGATTCTCCAAGTTTTAGACAGCTTGGTTAATGAGGTGAGAAGAAGCAGTTGTGTATCTAGGAATCTTAAATGGGGGAGCTGACAGGGGAAGCAAAGGTGGAATGCAGGGGCTTCATAATTAAATAAGGGGAGCTACTGTAGATGGCAAAATAAGGTGATATGGAGGTGATTTTTAACTACTGGAACACAGCCCTCAAAATTAACGTCAGCATTCGGCAGTGCCGGCGTAAATGCCGGCGTCTATGCACCTGTCGCCGGCGAGAAAATTGCCGACGTGCAGAAACGTACTGTTACTTTTCGCGAATAAATTACACTAATTAAAAAAAACGGAACTTCTAAGTTAATCCCTTACACACATGTAGCTGTTCTGTCTGTATTCTCCGTTGATTTTAGTGAAAGTGACAGACGATCCCCAACTCACACGTTCTGCAGTGCTTCGCCAACATCTCCTAGAAAGAACAGCAAGTCGAGCGTGTTCGTCGTCACCAAAGTTTGCTATCCTTTTGACTGTGGTGGCTTTTATTTTATGGATGAATATGCCCAGAGTATTTTAGTTTTAATTCGTTTTCACAAAAGTAACATGTAAATATATTTCAACATCCATGGTTAGTGCTTATTTTTTATCACTGCGGCTAGCCTAGGTCTACCTAGAACTTCACAGCACTCTGGGGATCCGATGGTCCACGTAGGCCTAGGCGCGCGTAGGCTAGTACTTAGTACTAGCCTAGGTTTAGGCCTAGTACTTGACAACTTTTTGAAAATGCCGGCGTAGGACAGGTGTCAATTTTTTAACGTCAGCGATTTTCTAATTTTGAGGGCTGGGAACATGATATTTTTTTTTTGCTTCTGACATTTTCAATGGGTGAGGCACCCAAACTTTTTTGGGGAGAGGAAATGCAACTTCCCCACACACCATCTAGATATGCCACTGAGGGGAGTAGATGGTTTTATGATGCATGAAATGTTAGTGTAATTAAGAATACTTGGGAAAACACTGCAGTATCACACCAGCTGTAAGGAAGACTCGTTGATCAAATGACACTTGCATTTATACTAATAATGATGATTTTAATAAGTTATTTCTTAAATTTTTTTTGCAATGAATTTGCACAAGTCGTTGGTCACACCACAAACTAACATAATCAATGTAGTTCGTGTCAGTTTGTGAAAACAAGAAATGAATTCAAGTATGTGCTGTTAAGAATTTTGTGTGGTAGAGAATAAAATAGTCAACAATATATTATAACAACACAAACATCAAACTTATGATATTACAATTTAACACAACTACTTTGTTTGTGTTAGTTTGTGGTGTGAATGCCAAATGGTAAGAAAGCATATTGACCAAAGCAGAGCTTGAAAAAAAACCAAAAAACTTACATTTCAACAGCTGGTAGAGACAATTGGATCTTGTTGATGTCCGCCTGCTTGATTTCCTTGCCCTTCTTTTCTATCATCTTCTGGATTACGCCAGTGAGATCTGTGATATCACTTGTGTTAAAAATACCATAGGAACCCTGTGGACAACCAGATGTAGAAGTTCAGATCAAAATTCATAAGGTGGAGAACCAGATTATGAAGTGCATATGGAGAACCAGATCCAAAAGTGGGAACAGAAAATATGAATCAGAAAGTGAAAAAAGAGATTCAGAAGGTGGAGCCCATATTAAGGAAATGCAAACCGGATTCAGATGACGGAGTACTACCAGATTCAGATTGTGAAATTTGAGAACCAGATTCAGAAGTTGGAGAAAATTCAGAACATGGAGAACCAGCATCAGAAGATGGAGAACCAGATTCTGAATATCAAGAACAAGATTCTATAGATAAAGATATATAAAGAACCAGAGTCTATACATACAGAACCAAATTCTGAAGATGGACAACCAAATTCTAAAGATGGAAAACCAGATTCTGAAGATGGAAAACCAGTTTTTGAAGACGGAGAACCAGATTCTGAAGATGGAGAGCCAGATTCAGATGATGGAGAAGCAGAAGCAAAAGAAAGAGAACCAGATTCTGAAGATGGAGAACTAGATTATATAGATGGAGAACCAGATTCTGAAGATGGGGAACTAGATTCTATAGATGGAGAACCAGATTCTGAAGATGTAGAACCAGATTCTGAAGATGGTAAACCAGGTTCAGGAAATGTAAAAACAAATAATGAGTGTGGAAGTGAAGAAACAGATTCAGATGTGGGATGTTAGGTGTAAGTAAAAAGGTGTATTCCTTTGGATTTTTTTCACTATTTTCAAGACACTAAGAAGATTAAGAGAAGCAATGATACATCTATGTTAAATCAAATAATAAAATTAACTTAATAAGAAATGACATTTGTTTCATTCCAAAATTCCATTAATTTATAAGTTTAACATTGAACCTTCTTTTGACTTTCTTTTTTTAAATTTAATCTTTCTGTAGGCACTTTCAGTACTATAGTACTGATTTTCAAAGTGGTACAGTGACAAGAAACATATATACTGTAGTTCTGTGTGTTGTTATTTCATTTTTTGACGGTTTATTTTGTATCTTTCTATGTTGTTGGTTTGTTTTGTAACTGTACCACTTTGAAAACCAGTACCAAGTATTGAAAGTGCCTGCAGATTAAAGAAAGAGTAAATAAATACATAAATCTAACAAAACTATAGTATTGGTGTATGTGCAATGCACTTTTGCATGAAAATTAACATCCACCCCACAGAAATGCAAGAGGCTATAAGTAACATGTTGGCAATATGTCTCCATTGACCATGACTAATTACATATAAACACATTGAAAATTTCTTCATATTTCAAAATGCATTGTATAAACAACCAAAGTTATTATTCCCATGGTGATAATTATGGCAATGTTTATCTACACTCTTTAGAATATGCATCTTAGAGTTGTCATGGTTACCTTTAGTGTTCCAATAAGGGCTGTGATCTGGTTCACTACAGCAAGGTCATGCATTATATTATTCCTTTCTTGGTAAAGTTGCCTTGTACTTCCACCAATCAGATACTCTGAAGTAAAAGTTGTTTTAAAATTTAGTCAATCAGAAATAAGCTTTAAAAATCAAGAACAAAATAAAATCATGCACAAAAACCAATTAATACATCTCAACATGAACCATCCATTAGGCCTTGGAAATTATAAACTGCCATTTTACCATGCTCATCCATCTGTGAGGTGGTTACTGTCATACGCCCTGGCTCCGTGTTTAACTCAATGTCTCCGCCTTCCATCGTTGGTTCCACTATTTCTACATCTTGTAACGGCACGCTCCATTTGTGTTTGTACTTTGGAATATCTTGGTTTGGCATACCGGTAGTCGACCTTCACAGATATTAAAATAATAAATTAAAAAAAAAAAAAGGAAAATTAGGATACATAATGATATTTCACATAACTTATGTAATTATAAAATTTTAGATTCGCAAATCATTCAAACATAATTTTCAGTAAAATTAACACTTGATTCATAAGCCAATTTACAGTAGATACAATTTTAAACAATTAATTTTACTTAATACTAAACATTTTTGCATTATATTGTGCTTTCTAAATTTTTAAGAGCAACTGATGGTGCTCCAAAACAATAAGACAAACATAAAACGACTTGCCAAAGTACCAGCGGTGACCCCAGAATTTTGCCGACAAGGGGTCCAACATGTCCGACGGAGGGGTCTGAACCAAGGGGTTGACTAGAGCCTCGGTCAGAGTCCCGGGAAATAATCCCTTTTAGTATGGTCCAAATTGTTCTTTGACCCTAACATTAGGGATTTACAATAAAAATAACATTATTTGGATAGGCAAATTATTTTTTTGAGTTTTGATCTGACAACTTCGTTGTGGCATGGGATAAAGGGGAGGGGGGTCCAGGCCTGTCTAACGGGAGGGCAAATGCCCTCCTACCCACCCACTGTGTACAGCAAAGTACACAGGTAAATGGACAGCATGTGATTCAAACATTCAACAATAATGCTCTGTCTGCACTATCATACTGATAAAAATGTTTGTGATATGCCCATATATAGGCATGATGATGTCATATCATACCCATATATGAGCAAATCACAGGTAATTTTCATACAAGCCCTGAGAGTGTCGACCAAGCTTCATGGATAAGAGTCTGCAGCACTACTATGATTACGATTTGAGTACTTACTTGTTAAGCACAGTCGTACACACTAAAAGGTCATTAAACATGAATAGCCTTCGTTCGCGGCATTTTAATACACTTCCTTGGCTGTTATATGTCTGCAAAGATTAAATAATAATTTATAACTTATAGTAGGGAACTTGAAAGGATTAAATACTACCTGGAGCCACAAATCAGACAACACAATATACAAGGTAACTATTCCAGTTTTGACTAAATAATAAATACATAGTACCAAACCGTTATTAACCGTTAAATTAAAAATTAATATTGATTGATCTATATGTGGCAAAAACAAGCCAAACCAGTCACTCGTCGCAAATCGTGTTTTAGAGAAAATGGCCAAAACATGCTGGAATGTCAAATTTTTAAAAATCTATTTTATTGCACTAAACTAACCTTTATATACCTATACATCATTCTATGCTGTTATTTTCCCAATGTGCAATGTTAAAACAACATTTTTAAGGATTTCATGATAGTTTCTGCATGAGAGATGCCTGAAATCATAAACTTTGAAGGTTGATTTCTCATATATAGTTCTTTAAACAGCTGTGTGTTTAAACGCTTTTAACTTCATAAGGAAATGTCCGATTTCAATGATTTTTTTACCATTTTATAGCTATTATTTTACTCTCTAACACTGTATTAATAACTCAAAATCGATTTTTGCGACAAGTGACTGGTTTGGCTTGTCTTTGCCACATATGTTTATTACTCAGCATAGATAGGTATTTGGGTTTTTTTTTAGGTATTGTGTTTTAAATAATATGTAAAGTCTTCAATGTTATACCTTTAGTATCTAGAGTGTAAAATTAAGAATGTGTCATTATCGATTTTCCATTATGGGTATAATATGATATTCTCAAAATTTAGTATTTAACATTAATTGTAAGAACAGTAAAATCTTCAACAGAACAAACAATGAGATTGAAAGTTGTGTTTCACACAAAATGAAAAACATTACAAAGACAATGAAAAACACAGAAAATGTACAGGCTCAAGCTGAAAGACATTATTTCTAAAAAAAAAAAAAAAGCTCTTAAAAATCTAGACACACACATTATCTGCTTATTTTAAAATATTTTTTTCTTGCGATAAACTCTGCTTTTGGGTAAGATTAGCAAATCATCTGTGCACTTGCATGAAAAATTGCTAGGCTATGGTGAATTATTGTGGTAATTGATACAGCATTTGAAAGGCACATATTGGCTTATGTTTTACTGGAGCAAATATAAATCATTTTGAGAGGAAGTGATCCCACACTAATCTTGTTTTGAAAAGTAAAAAAATAAATCATTTTGAAAGTAAGTGATCCTATTCTAATTTTGGTAAATTTTCTTTTACATTTTAATGATTATTATTAAATATTTTTTATGAACTTGTGACAAAATAAAATGATGATAAACTAAAATGAAGATAAACACAAATAATGACGGTGATAGTAATATAAAGTGACTTGTTAATACTGCAAAATCAATTATTATTATAAATTATGTAATTAATAATGGTATGAAAATATAATATTAGTAAAGGTGAAATATTTATAAAAAAAATTAGTTTAACATCAATTTAAGATAGACATATAGAAATAGTATATATCAAAATAACATTTTATTATACTGTAGGATTAATATACATACATCTTACATAAATATATATAAATGTATATGGTTCATGCTAACAATATTTATATAATAATCATAAATTTTATATAATTGTTGAATTTATTACAGATACAGTTAAATTACTAACTGACATATCAGCACTGTATTTGTCAGTAAAATTAATTATATTATTATCAATGTCACTTAACATTTTAATATTCCTACCACAATTATAATATAAATAATATATTATTATTTTCTTTCTATTTATGTTAAACAGTAAGTATACTATTAAATAATAAATAATTATTATTGAACAATCACTATTAAACCATATTGGTTAATAATAGAAATTTATGTATAAATATTTTTTAATTAAAACCAAATTTATAGAGGGTGACCCTTCCAGCGTATCCTTGAGGGTCGACTGGCATGAAATAACATGATGCATTATCAGCAAATTCTCATTACGAGGTATTTTAGGTATGAGAAAAATTCTGTGCTGTCACAAGATTTGAACCCAAGACCATGGTAATGGAAGGCAAGCACCTTAACCTCCATGCTACATCTCTGCCATTATGATAATAAAGTAATCCCTTAAAAGATTTATGGAAAAAATGTGCTAGAAAAAAGTAATAACTGACCCTTCAAATAAATAAAATCCTGGTTCTCATGAGAGCCCTAGTATCCAGATCAGGAGCTAACCGTTAGCGCTAACCGTTAGCACCTGCGTGAGAACGCCTGATCGGTTAGCGCTAACCATTAACAGTATCTGGATACCTCTAACGGTTAGCAAGCGCTATCAGTTAGCAAGTTGAGCGCGTTTTTATCCTCAACCAATCACACGTATGCGTTTACAATTTCAAGTTTCTTATTGGCCAGTGATTCGATCATCATATTTTTATATGTATCCGGATCAAGATTTCCGGATTAAGATTTCAAGGTATCCAGATCAAGGTTTTCTCGTATGGACGCAAGGCTGCTAACGGTTAGCAGGATCCGGATCCTGCTAACCATTAGCAGCCGTGTGAGAACATAGCCAAAGTGTTTTGTGAATCATGCTAGTATGAAAACAAGACATCAAACAATGATATGATTGAAACTATTAATGATGTTAATTAACAACAACTCCAGTACTTACTTCACTCTGATATAGGGAAAAAAAGCAATGAGAGAAGAAAGAGAAAGAATTTATTAGTAGAAACAGTTCACCATATATAATTATTTTGTCAGTATGGCAACTAATTTCTCAAAATTGCCTGTGTACATGGTGTATAGTGCAGTTTACCTTGATAGAGGTGTATGACCTAAAAAACACATATATTTTGATCGTTGTGCTAGGTCTGTGGCAATAAATACACTTATCTTTGTATATCTAACAAATGATGTTATAATCATATTGAGCATAGCCATTCAACCAAATGTTCCTTATTAGTTGTAAAGCATGAAAAAGCATATATTCACAGGAATTAAACCAGAGCCCTTTTGCTTTCAAGGCAAGTGCCATACCGCAAAACCATGAAGGCCTGTTGGTATATATCGCAGATTCACTAGATCACCCCCCTCTACTATAACTGTAGTGATATGTAGTAATGTAGTTGAGTTTTTATAGCATTATTATACCAAAAAGGTCTCAAGGCTCATTCAGTAATGCCCTCACTAAGTGAAGTTGATCATAAACAAGTAGGTAATGATAGAAACGGTGCTAAATTACTAGAACAAATGATGTTATAATGTTATCAGTCATAACCCTTAACAAACAGTTGTAACAAGCATAGCCCTGCATGGTAAAAACAGGCACAATTTGGCACGTTATTAGTTACTGTATGATTTGATGATTTTTTTCAAGAACAATGCTACGCAAAATATTTGCACTTGAATTATTTTGGTCAAACTGACCAGGTATATAGTTAGTTTGATCAAAGCAGGTCTGATCACAAATAAGGAGTAAAGCCCCGGACAGACAAATTTTCTTTGACAAAAAACTATTGTATGCCCATATTTAGTCATGATGTGCCTATATATGGCCATTTGATGACCATATATAGGCATGTCACATGTTTTTATCATGTTTATAAAACATGATAGTCTGAACAGAGCTTTAAGTCACGAAATGTGATTAACTGATCATATTCAGTTGGTGGTGGCAGCGGATGGCCCAGCTGGGCCTTGGCAGTTGTTAAGGAAGCACAATCAAAATCTGTTTGGGGGGAAAAATGAAACATGGAGGGACTAAGGTGGGTGTGGAATCTGGCCCATCTATCAGGGAACAATGTACCACCTTGCTGGGAGAAAGCTGGTGCCACCCTTGATAATATTATAAGAAACAGACAAAATTGATGATGGCTGGCTCTCACTGGTCATTATTATTGAAAGCTGCCAATAATAATTGTTGCTATACACCCAGAGAGCATAATGAAAATTAGTTACTAATCATTGAACGTAATCATAAATTAAAAGACGGTGGAACTTACTGTCTGCAACATGTCATCCTGCCGTACCAACCATCTCTGTTTGTCATTGCTAGACTGCAACAAAAAAGTTTCTGTATTCGTTATTGTTTTCATTACTTATGTTTTCTCATTTTTTAAAATAAGCACTTATGTAATGCTACAGTATTTCATGAAGATCAGAGGATATTTTTTTGTTTCATTTTTTATCTAATATACTTAACATAAATTAAGTTTCATTTCAGTTTTTGAATAAAGTTATATAATACAAATAATAAAAATAGCAATGAAAAACTTCTAACTGACACCAATCCGGATACGAAAAGAAAAACCATACTGATGAACCAATCACCACTGCACAGTTTCACTGTATTTGAAAGTGTAAGACCCATCTGGGCAGTATTCACTCAAGCGATCTTGAAATCTAGACCTTTATACCAATCATTTTTAAATAACATGTTTTTTTAAATCTGTAAATCTTATTTCTATTTTTTATCACTTTGATGTCCTTGATTATTTAATAACAAATACAAAAAAAATTTAATTGTAGTTTGAACTTTCACCTTTGTTTTGAACTTGACATTCAAATTTTTGATAAGTTGTTTGACCTCATGTCGTTGCTCACATTGTCGTTTCCTCTCATTTAGAACACCAGCTAATGTTTCCAGTTTAGTTAAGGCAAGTTGTAATGGCATACGATCTGTGTGTCCTACAGGTGTATTTTTTAGCATGTCCTGAAAAAAAAAAATATGACAAATGATAATGATGGTAATAATAATAATAAAGGAAGTTATAAAGTGTCTTCTTACCTAAGGTTGTTGAAATGAAAGAATAAGGAAATATATATATTTTAAAAACAGATAAAAGGAGAATGAAAATATATGGTGATAGTTATAACCTTAGACCTGGCGCATACTACGTCCCAGAAGATACCCGATCATTTGATCAGAGTTTAGAGACATTGCGCATAATACTCTAGAGGCATTTTGAGAAAAAAAGATTTGTTATTTCCCTGGGCAACTAAAAAGTATTTTCTTGATACATTACATTTCACCAGGAATTTTAGTACCACTGTTGGGTTACATAGTATGCATGTAATATTTGGCACTTGAGGCATATCATCGTGACAATCTTTATGGTTGGAGAAACAACATATTTTTTTTTAACTTAAAATAGGATAATATATAAATTTAAAGTATATATATTGTTAATGAACAATCTGACCTTTTACGCAACCACACCCATCTTGTGTAGAATATGACTATACTAATTTCAATACTATACTAATTCCAGGGAACAGTGAAATATTATAGTAATACTATACTAATACTATACTAAATCCAATAATTTAAAAAAATAATCTTTGGAGTAATTAAATTAGCAACATGTTTTGAAAAGCGTCTTGAGTTTAAAGAATGAATGAGGTGCATTTGAAATTTACACCGACGAATCTAACAAATTTGAATTCTAGACGTCTACTGAAAAGAGTACTGGTAGCCAGTAGAAACTTGCTTTGTTGAGTTCCGTCTTTATTGCAGGTTGATTCCAAATGGTTTTTAATACTATACTAAATCCAATAATTTAAAAAAATAATCTTTGGAGAATTTTATACTGGAAATGACAAAATGTTTTATCGGAGGCATTTTTTTTAATGAAATTATTTTTTTTAAATAAAGGGATAATAAAAAACTCAAGCACTTTTTGAAGATACGGTTTCGAAGAAAATTCTAATGAGAAGGTTGTTCAATGTTACTATGCGGGGGATGATCCAGAGATGTCCGCAAGGGGAGGCCAAATGGGGGCCTGAAAGTGGGGCCGATCGAGACAACACTAGGTCAGGGGACCCCGCAAAATTTGTGTTTTCTAGATGCCCAAAAAATAATCTGAGGCATTTTGGGTGATCAATTATTTCTTTTTTTTCCCTTTTTTTTTAACTTTCCAAAAGGAAAAGGATGGGGAGTGGGGGCAGGGTTTCATTGTTAGCTCTAATAAAGCCCTGTCCAGACTATACAATTTTATTTGACAAGAATATGACATACCTAAATATGGTCATGATGACATCACATCATGACCATATATAGGCATATCATGACTATTGGCATACAACAGTTTTTTGTCTAACAATATTTTGAAATGATTCATATAACTAAAGGAAATGGTTCAGACGACTACAGATGATTTTTTACAAAAGAATTAAGATAAGTTATATGACTAAAGATGATTTGTGCTACAACACAAAAGATGAATCGTATGTTTACAGAACGCTCATATAATTACAGAATACAATTTGTAACACTAATCATTTGTCCAATTACAGTATTAGATAAGACAATTTGTAGCAGTTAAGATGAGAATTAAGAAAATGTGCAACATTAACACAGGAAATTTAATTGTTGAGCTGTTAATTGTGTTGTGTCAGTTGAAATAAAAACAAAAGAAAGGATGAAACAAACATATAAGCAAATGGACTAAATAAACAATGAACACATAAATAAATGAGTTAAAGTATAAATAATCAATAAATAAAAATAAATGGAAAATATTATCAGTGAAATGTACCATTTTATACGCACATGTATGTAGGATATTTGAATAAACAAATTATCATTTGATTGGAGAATTGTGTTAATGAGCAGATTTGTTCACAAATGGTATTTCCTGCATCTGTAGTTCTACATTTGATATGAAGTCATCCATCATACATACAGACAGTATCTTCTTGATTAAGTGTTGTCAGAGCTTGTTTTTTTTTCTTATTTGGCTGATGGATTGACCGTTGAAAACATCTTCAAGCAGAAATCTTCTTGTAAAGTGGGGACAATCACTGCGCTTAACCGCAAAGCGACGACAGGCGCGCAACGTATCGTTTTTAATGACGATCCATTCATGCTGTCACCAACAATCACCAGACAGCATCGCACTGTCTAGTTTGATTGGTCATGCAACGGTTGTGTGGCCGTCGCTGTTGAGTCCCCGGCTTAAGATGCATCCCTCCATTAGGAGCATTGTCGCAACCTGAGAGCATGTGCGGTGCAGGAAACGCAAAATCCACAATTGTGCTAAAAACATTAAAAAGTGCTGTCCAGTGCTGCTAAAATTTGCTGCTACTTTGATAGGAGTTTTGACCAGTCCTACTCTGAAGGCTTCAAGAGTGGGGGCTGTAACCAATTGGTAATTTTCTTACAGGAAGTCTTTCTAATATAGTCGTGTGATTTTTTTTATTTATTTATTTTTCCACCATACCAGAAGATCATATCCAAGACATTATGTAGTTGTCTGAGATTATATCAGAAAGAATAAATATTATTTTAATTATGTTCATTTTTTTATATATTGTTTGGTCCAATTGTATATAAAATTTAATAAACCTAAATGAGACTTGCCATGGTCAAATCAACATCAGTAACCAAAACAATTAAATAGACTTTTTAATATATGTGGCAAAGACAAGCCAAACCAGTCACTCGTCGCAAAAATTGATTTTGTGTTATTAATACAGTATTAAAGAGTAAAATAATAGCTATAAAATTGTAAAAAAATCATTCAAATCAGACATTTCCTTATGAAGTTACAAGCGTTTAACCAAACAGCGGTTTAAAGAACAATATATGAGAAATCAGCCTTTAAAGTTTATGATTTCAGGCATTTCTCATGCAGAAACTATCTTTAAATCGTTAAAAATTGTTGTTTTAACATTGAAAATGGGGAAAATAACAGCATAGGATGGTGTGTGGATACATAAAGGTTTGTTTAGTGCAATAAAATAGATTTTTTTAAATTTGACATTTTAGCATGTTTTGGCCATTTTCTCTGAAACACGATTTGCGACGAGTGACTGGTTTGGCTTGCCTTTGCCACATATGCATATTCTCTACACTATGAGTTTTAAAATGATAGGTCATTGTACAGGAATCAACTTAAGAAAATGTTCGGTTTTGCGTGAAATTAGATTTTGTGGGCATTGAGTACACATAGTATTGTTCTATGTTAATATTTTTTTTTCGAAAACGTGCAAGTCGAAATCTGTATAACTCGAACTTGTTATGCCAGTCCCATTAGATTCGATTTATGCGAACTCGACTGTATTTACTAATAATTTATGACTCAAATGGCTTTTCTGTATGAAAGTATACAATACTGCCACATTGATAATTACTCAGCTTAAAATTTATCGACATGACTCTGGTTTTTGTATGGCAAGCCTCAAGTTTCAATTACAGTAAAGATTACGAATACATATTTAAAATTAAAAAAATAAAAAATATATAGAGAAAACAAAACCTTACCTGTAACAGAAGTATAAACTGAGGGAATCGTTGGATGGGTTTTAACATGAGACCATACAGACTCAGTCTATCCTTGCTACTCTTCTGTTGTTCCTGGAAAAACAAAGCATATTACTTGGTTAATTATCACTTTAAGTGACATTGGACAGTGATACCTCGTATTTGGTAGAAAACTGTCTTGATTTTTTTCCTTCTCCAACAATGGTAGCTCTCTCTCTCAGGTAGAGGTTTTTCATAAGACTATAAGATATTTAAACAAAAAATTAAATTGAATAAACATAAATAAAAAGCTAAACTATATGATCATAATATAATTATTTATTAATTAATTATTAATAATCATTTAATTGTGGATAGAAAAAAAAATCTCCTACATTTGTCATCTACATTGTCATCATTATAAGTAATAATAATAATAGTGTAGTTTTATATAGCGTACATACACTATTCATACATAAGATGCCCTTAAGGGTCACTTCGTGTCTGTGCTACGCGGTAACCCGGTACCAGCAAATCTCGTCATCCACCACAGGGGCTGTCTGTTTCAGTACTGTACACCGGGGTATCCCCCTACTTGTCTCAAAGGATGTTAGTTGGGTTAGTGCACACGAGCCATTGTATACACTGGGCCTACGGTTTATAGTCCTTATTCCGAGATGACTTGGTCTACCACCAGAACCACAGGTGAGCGTGCCGTTTGAACCAGCGCCGATATTTTGGCTCTAGCTTGTGGTACCCCTGCTAACCACTCACCCATTTGGTTAAAAACATTGAATCCCACAACAGGCCAGATGTGTATAAGAGACAGGGGACAAACGGCCGCAATACTGCCACATTGATAATTACTCAGCTTAAAATTTATCGACATGACTCTGGTTTTTGTATGGCAAGCCTCAAGTTTCAATTACAGTAAAGATTACGAATACATATTTAAAATTAAAAAAATAAAAAATATATAGAGAAAACAAAACCTTACCTGTAACAGAAGTATAAACTGAGGGAATCGTTGGATGGGTTTTAACATGAGACCATACAGACTCAGTCTATCCTTGCTACTCTTCTGTTGTTCCTAGAAAAACAAAGCATATTACTTGGTTAATTATAACTTTAAGTGACAGACATTGGACGGTGATACCTCGTATTTGGTAGAAAACTGTCTTGATTTTATTCCTTCTCCAACAATGGTGGCTCTCTCTCTCAGGGAGAGGTTTTTCATAAGACTATAAGATATTTAAACAAAAAATTAAATTGGAATAAACATAAATAAAAAGCTATACTATATGATCATAATATAATTATTTATTAATTAATTATTAATAATCATTTAATTGTGGATAGAAAAAAAATTCTCCTACATTTGTCATCTACATTGTCATCACTATAAGTTTCTGTAAATAAAATAAAGTGACTATAGCATACTATACTATAATTCAAATTTGTCATCGTTGTGATCAGTTAATCTATTGTGACTGTTTGATCATGTGACCATTGCTTCTAATCTTGAGAAAATTTTCCCATTGTCATTATTATTATTTTGATCATTTGGTCATTGCCATCATTTGTATGCTTGATCATTGGATCTGTGATCAGGTGATCATTTTAGTCTGACGATGCAATCATTTGAGAGCAGCGTAGCTCAGTCAGCTAATCTGGTGGTAGCCACAGTGTGTGTGTGCTGAACTGTGAAGATCTCTAGGTCCCCGGTTCAATTCCCATCGCTGTCTCTCCTTGTGTTTCAGCAGGGGGCTGAAATACAAGTTACAATAGCGCACCGTCTTTCGGATGAGATGTTTAAGCCGTTGGTCCCGTGTGCATTATGGCCCATGTGCATGTTAAAGAGCGCAGTACACTCTTCGGAAAAGAGTAGGGGATTGTCTCCCGGTGTACTGCCAAATCTCCACCAGAAGGACCCCACTGGAAATAATAAGTCTTCTTCTAGACTTTCGTGGGCTTTCCTTGGTCTTTACACCAAATAAATCCAATCCAATCATTGTGATCATTTGTTGTGACCCCTGTGTTTCTCATCATGTGATCAGTACCACTATTTTGATCAAATCAATGATTTATGATGTGAATAACTGACCTTTCCAGAGCACCAACCCCCAAGGATATTGCTACTCAGGATCCACAAAACCACAGTGTAAAAAAATATGCAAACACATGCGTTTGTGGGAAAACGCGTGTGTTTGTGAGACACGCACACATTCATAACCCACTTCTGATTGGTCAGCTAGTTTGATTGACACTCAGGAAAGATCCACTGTGATTCCTTGAATCTCTTGAAGAGTATAATCAATATTAACAAACCATTCTGTTATTTTTTTTCTATGATACTGCATGTATAAAACTCACCAAGATAAATTCATTAAAAGCTGGTTTGAGTGCGGCTGCCTTCTTTGCCGTGTCCATTGCGTTTGTGAAATTATTGACATACGCACTATATACATCCAACACCATTGCCTTAGAGAACTGTGGGAAAAGATTATCAATGATAATTTTAATCAGCAATTCAAACTTTAGTTTATAACACGTTTACTGCCAGGGATGCGAGTTCACGTCCGACAGGATAAACTCAAGGCACCAAGGAGCAAGTTCATGTCCACACCTGTCTAACATACGACTAATTACTGCATGTAAACTTGCTGGCAGTGGTTGCAAGAACACAAACTCTCGCCCTGGAGGTTCAGGGAAGGACCCGGAAGTAATGATCTAAAAATAACTACTGTACGTTTGTTGGTGTTTCACTATAATTGATGAAAATAATTTTCATTATGGTGGTGCCCTTTATGCGTATATGATGGAACTAGGAAAGAAGCCTTGGCAGTCAAAATGTTAAAGGGGTTTTTTTCAGATTAATTGCAGAATTAGAAAACCAATTGAAGAAAATCTATAGTGAAGTGTGTACTGAAGTTTATACATGACAGTTGCAGACTAGAAGTCGTCTTTTTGACAGTAGATAGAGAAAACCTGCGTAACTATAATTACACTAAAGTACACATTACACCTGCTCTGGCAATCAACGTAATTGGGACACAAAGCAAAGGAAACCTAGGCAACCTTGACAGTGACTATAAAATGTTCTCAACGAAATGTATTGCATTTATTTATAGCATTACGGGTGGGAGGCCTTAGGTGGTTTTATTTATTTCGATCATTTCTTATATTGCTACTGTAATGTAGAATAAATCAATATTTAATTTTTAATTTCCATGTATGTTAACACTGTTGCCTTTGAATTTTTTCATATTCATAAAATGTAAGGAGGTAAAGTAGTCGAGCCTGTAGATGTCTGGAGTGCCCATCCCTTTTCATAAGTGTTGGGGGGGGGGGCCCCCAGAGCGTGCAATGCTGCAAGGGGATCACTACACCTCCTCACAGCGAGTGTACTGTACCCTCCCAGCATATGCCTGTGCACATTTATACTCCTGGGTAGAGAGAAACAAACGCAGATAAAGTGCCTTGCCCAAGGACACAAGCGAATTGCACAGCGAGAGTTTTCAACCTCCAACAACCAGTTTGAGAATCCGAGCCTCAACCACTGTGGCAAACACTTCTACTGCCAATTATAAACAAGTCAAATTAATGCAAAAAAATGTTTTCTTATTTATCCCAAGGATGAAAGATTACATTTATGGGATTGTAGATTTATAACATCATGAAAATGCATGACATTTTACACTTAAAATGTTGCACAAAATTATTTATTTTCACATGCCTTATTTTCAAATACAAGGTATGTTGTTGGTGTTCTAAAACTATTTTAAAGGCATTCTCTTCTAAATTACTATATAAAGATGGAGTTTTCTTTACCAGTAATCAAACATAAAGCTATAGTATTTTAAAGCAAGACTTTTTATACTTTTGTTTAACTTATTATTGAAAGACGATGTTGGGAGAAAAAAAAAAGATTGGTTTTACAGCAAAATGGTTTTTGCCAAAAGCATAGGTGGAGGGATAAATAAAAATGCAATTTCATTGATGAATTAAAAATAAAATTCTAGTGTGGAAGGTATAAAATATTACAGGGTGTTCTATACCCTAACTAGTATTTATTGTGGTCCTGCAGAATATGAATTTCCACATGTCAAAAATTTAGTATTCACGTTGACAAATGCTTTATATGTATTCAATTATAAACAGTTATTGGTGTAATTCATGGCGCCAGTAGGTGTAATGAATATAAATTTAGACTACATATATGTCTGTTTGTAAAAAAGAGCAGAGCTTTGCCTCATTGAAATAATGAGAACAGATGTATAAAATTTTGAAGTAAAATAAAATGACATAAAAAAAAGTGATGCCGCCAATACACAGGCTTCAAAATACAGCCCACCGAAATGAAAGGCTGTACTATTTTGAGTCTGTGTGTGTTTCTGTCGTAACAACCAACCTGCCTAAATTTTATAGGTTGCAGAGGAAGATTCGGTATAATTACATATGTGGCAAAGACAAGCCAAACCAGTCACTCGTCGCAAAAATCGATTTTGAGTTATTAATACAGTGTTAGAGAGTAAAATAATAGCTATAAAATGGTAAAAAATCATTCAAATCAGACATTTC